AGAGGAGAGAGAGAGAGAGAGAGAGAGAGAGAGAGAGTGGAGAAAGAGGTGGGGATGAGGTTGCAGCAGCAATGTGATGGGGAGGCGGAGGCAAAGCCTGATAGAAAGAGAGAGGAAAAAATCAAGATAGTAAGATAGTTATGACAATTGTTTGAAATCGAAAATAATAAGATGGTACAAGAATCAAATGGTAGGTTTATTGCACCGCAGAGTTTCATACCAAAATGCATACCGCCCAATGTGTCTAGGACAATGAACTTAATAGGCAGTATGGTTCATACCAGAACGAAGTATAAAAAATCATCATTTTTGCATCTTGATTGCATCTTGCATGGTTCAATACAGTTGATATTTTAATCTATGATCTTAATATCACATTCTTTTATTTACTGTCCTACACTCTAATATATAAAGTATAGTTGGCCTTGTAGTTATCAAATGAAAATTTTATTTAGATCTAAAGGGCACACAATGATTACACTAAAGTTTGTATATCTCCTCTCTACTTTCACCATATTGTTTTTAATATGTTAACAATATCTTGATCAATTTCTCTTTCCTACCAAGAAATAGATCGAAACAGGAAGACTTTTGTCTATGGGAGTTTTCATCCAATTATCTTAACTACATCATTAATACATCTCTTAGCATTGGTAAATTTACAATTTTTTTATTATTAAATCATATTCATACCTAATTTTCATTTCTAGTTGCTATATAACTTATAGAATTCTTCCCAGTTTTATAACTTTAGATCTTTAAAGCAGCCTCTTGTAGTAGTGATGTATGATATTCTATCTTTGCTCGTTTTATCTGTTAGCAACATATCCTGTATTTAATTCTTAGATATTCTTGTGAAAAGAGTTTTTACAAAGGTTGTTGGTCGTTAATGCAGTTGAACTCCCGAGTCCTGTGAGAATAAGACAAACTGAAGCTAACGAGGAGGCCCCATTGAGTGAGTTCCAGCAGGAGTTGATGCAGCTTGCATCGGTGCTGAATGGCGATCACCTCCTGACCAGTTTCCAGGAGAAAGTTCTGAAGCGCATGAACGTCAAAGAAGGCATAGCCTATGCGGAGAGTGCGGTGAAGCGCTTCTTTGAAGCTGGATTGACTGCAAAGAAGATGGGAGTCGACGACGAACAAATCGTGCAAATGAGACCGTCATTGACGTCTAGGTCCTCGTCATCTTCTGTTCATCATCGTCATCCTTGAAGCTACTGTTTAGTATTCAGACCTGTTTGTTTGGATACCAAGCATCATCAGGGGTACTAGATTTATAGAAAGGGTTCTACACGAATGTCTTCTGTCCAATCATTTCATGTGTGATTGTCTCTTAAATCAAAGTAGCCACCCATCCGAGTGGAAGTGTTCTCAATGTCTGGTGCTTGGCAATTCCCACAGTTCATCAAATTGTTCTCCTGTATATGATTAAAAGCATGTATTTGGTATTTTGCTCCAACGAAGTTTGGATGTCGCTTTGAAAGCAATTGTAAGCAGAGTGCCAACATGTATTTTGTCTGGACCTCCTGATTGCTAATATGACTGCTAGCCTCCCACTACAGTATACTTTCATGCATGCACATTGCTATCTTTACAAGTCAAGATAAATAAAAGTGTACAAGAAATAAAATAAGAGAGAACAGTAATAAAGAGGATAAGGGCATTGCTTCACCTCTTCTTTCATGGATGAGGATAGACGACTCGTGGTTTGCTATTATAGGCTTAGATTTAAGGTTTAATTTTAGATTGAATTTAAATATAAACATGTTAGGATCATAAGAATTCCTCTACTTTAAAGGCTGATGGCATAGCAACGGAGAGAGGTAACAAATTACTAAGAGACTACAAATTACATGAGGAGATGGCGGTCATTAAGAGTTTTCATACTGTGACGTGAGAAGCTAATGAAAAGCACGAAGAAACCAAAATGAAAACGAACAACAGAGAGAAAACGACGAAGGCCACTTTGAAGACCCACTCATCCAGATCTAGAGTTCTTCACTGCAGGACACGACTCCACTCCACAACAACAGATACAGACGCTTCAAATCCGACGACGAAACAAAAATAGGCTAATCCGTGCATGCAGCGAGTGCCTCAGGCGGTAGTACAGGCCTCACGGGCGAACCCAATCCGTGCATTGGGCACATCAAACAGCACACGGTGGTTCTGCTGCTGCATGTTGGCGACGACATTGAGCACCGAGTTCACGTTGTCCGGCGCCCCGGCCATCGCCAGGCACGTGATCGACCCGGCGGTGCTGTGGATCAGTATGTTGTCCGGCGGCAGCGTCACGTTCATCCCGGTGAACATTAGCGTTATGCCTGGCGGCGTCACGGCCCCGTTGTAGCACGTGTCGAACCCGCCCAGCGACGTCACCGGCCCTGCCGCCTTCACCCGCCGCCGGAACTCGTCCCGCAGCGCCGCGTACGCCGGCGCCACCAGCCGCGTGAACATGGTCCCGGAGTCGAGGATGGTCCCGGCGCCGGTGGCCGCGTCGAAGGTGAATGCCGAGGGCGGTATGTCGAGCACTCGGCGCCCGACTCGTATCCCGATCATGTTCACGTAGTAGAGAGACGAACGGCGCGGGCTGGAAAGCAACGGCGTGGTCTTCATGTTCTTCGGCTGACCAACCGGACCGAGCCGCAGCGTGCCGGAGAAGTTGAGCGATTTGAAGCTGGGGAGACAGTAGGAGAACGTGGCGCCGTAGAGGCCCTTGGTTTGCGACAAGAAGGAGAGAGTGCCGCGTCCGAGACCCAGGAGGCCCTGCGGCGGGATGGAGTTACCCGTGACCTTCTGTAGACACCCGAAGGTGTACGACTGCACGACGTCGGATGCGAGCGCGAGGGAGTCCTGCGCGAGCCCAGCCTGGAGGGACGAGGCTCCGTAGGTGAGGTTGAAGGAGCATGAGGTGGCCCCCGCGGGACACGAGGGGTTGGGGACTTGACCGCACTGGGGGGAGCCACAGGGGAGGGGGCGGTAGGTGGTGGAGCGAGAGGGATCAAAGGAGGGGGAGGCGGATGGGCAGCCGGCGCAGGCGGTGCAGGGGACCCACGCGGCGTCGTTGCTGGTGTCGAGGGCGATAAGCATGGGCTGGGCCGGGGTGCCGACGCTGGCGCGGACGACGTAGTTGGGGATCTGGAGGAGCTGCCGACCGGAGGCGACGGGCACGAAGGACCGTCCGGCGGTGGCGAGCGAGGCCAGGTAGGCGAGGCGGGACTCGTCGCGGGTCATGAGGTCCATCACGGTGTCCTCCCACGAGTCGAAGCGGGCGGACTGGCGGAGCGGCGAACACGGGCCGAAGGCGTGAAGGATTCGGATGGTGGGGCCTTCGTCGGGCGGAGTGGCGCAGCGGAAAGCATCTGCGGCCGCCGCGACGGCGCAGGAAGAGAGCACTAGCAGAAGGAGGCGTAGCCGCGGTGGGGAGCCAGCGCAAGCCATAGCTGTGTGTCGAATCCGGTGACGAGGAAACCGAGTCGGAGGTGTTCATATAGTGACACAGGGAGGACCGCATTCCATCGCTGGGTTTCTCACGTGACCGGGCAACAGCACGGAGCAGCAGAGTGTGAAAGGATGCGTGTAGACATTAGAGAAGAGCTGGCCCCACCACTCACGGGTGGGGTGTCCGGCGGGGGCCACAGCTCGTGAACGCGTCTGCTCGTCCTTTCCCCATTGCCATTCCCGAGTCACGTGCACGGGGCCATCCAAGATCTGGCATGGGATTCTCTTCCTTTGTCGGTGTTACTGGCACAGGTCGCGGACGCAGAGATCGCACGACAAGGAACAGGACAGCGGTGTCGCTCGATCTTCTCGATTGGGTTCCCGCTTTCCGCAGAGCATGTGAAACAAAAAGCTGTGAGAGGACAGAAGAAGGGCCCAAAGTAAAATTCGCGCTAAGATCACTTGATGAACTAATTAATCTCTCTCCAGTTGGATTCCGCAAAGTGACGATGAAGTAAGCACAAAAGTGCCTGAGCTTTATTCATTTGAGTTGGAAAGCCAGTCAGACTGTCACTGTTTGGGCAGCATGTTCTGTGGCTGGGGAATATCCATCACCCCGCACTTAATATAATACTATAGAAATCTCAGGTAGAGTGATCTCTTCTACTCGGACAAGTTTGGAATTTCCAAGACTTTTAACTAAAATTTCATAATTTATTTTTCATAGATAATGTTCATAATGTTAAATATAATAGAGACAGCATCAATTTTTAGTAATTACTTGAATTTATGATGGCTCTTAAGTGGATCTCAGGACTTGGGAGGCATGCTAGTGGCTTGCACTTGAGTTGGGAAGTTCAGTAAAGATATTAGCGAGACACTCAGATCTATGCGATGATTCCAACCATAGACATGAGACAAGCAAAAGAGGTGGATGCCACCACGCAATGTTAACAGGAAAAGAACAAGAAAGATTCTACCACCGAAATAGTTCTTATCAAACTAAAATAAAAGTTTCATCGACTTTTTTTATTTTTTGTGGTGAAACGAAATGATGCCGAATTTTAATCTTCGACAAGATGGATCCTCGGTCGGTGAGATGGAGGACTCAAATTGCTGATCTAAGGATCACGCGCATTACATTTTAACCATTAGAATGTGTTTTTAGAGTGTATTGATTTCATATGTGATAGGAAACATATCAGTTAATCATTATCTTACATCTATGCGAACAAGAGTCTAAAGTGTCTTCTACTAAATATTTTCTCTATCTAAATATATCTTTAATACAAGATAAGAGAGATTTATCTTTTTTTATCATTCACACGTATAAACTTCGGGTTACTAACTTAAGCATCAAAAAGATTGGGCTAGAAAACATTTCTCGACAGTATTATGATTCCCTAATAACTCGATATTTTCATCTTAAAAGCATCTCAAATAACCCTATACATATAGGTTGTCAATGATATTTTCTCCTAATAATATGCAATGAGTATGACAAATGAAGATTATGAATGATAGAGAAGAAGAACATTAAACAAAAAATGCAAGGAATATTGATGAGTGGTGGACGAAAATTTTTTCTCTTCGTGCTTATTATTATCTCTAAGCTTCTCAAAAAATGACTAAGAGAACGAGTGAGATTGATTTTGTTCAAATGATAATTCTCTCGTAGGATGTTAATCTAATTTTTTTCATTTAGTATAGTGTTTGAAAACCAAAGGCCTCTTGAGAATGATGGAGCTACATGTTTCTTCTCATCTCACCTCTTTGATCGTAAATTCGAAGATCTTACAAAATCAATAAGAACCCATGGATACTTAAATCAATAAGAATTGATGATAAGTTAGATATGAGTATAGGTCGTGTTGGTGAACAAATATGTTGTGGTTGGTGAGTCAGCATGGCTCAGTCTACGGGTCGATGTCAGGAGTCTTCTATTGGTTGAGTTGGATGCTGAAGTAGGCTAGGCCATCGCAACGGGATGGTGATCAGTGTTTCTCGATCGGGGTGTCAATGTTGAGCAGTGTCTCTCCATTCTCGGGCTAGTTGGCAGCTCGCCCTCGTTCACTGGATGACGATTCCCAGGTCGAGACACTCTTGGCTCGGGGGTGGTCGCTTGCCTACAAAAATGGCCTTCGTCGGGGGATTCCCGACTTTGGCTCCTCCGATGAGCAAGTCAGTAGTTGTTTTTTCTCTTCTCTTTTGTGTCCTCCCTCCCTCTAGCCGGATGCCAGCCAGGGGCTTTTATATTATTGCACGAGGGTTGGTCGCACGCAGATTCGACGTGGCAGTTGATCCTCAGGGGATGAGATGGTACTGTGCGATCGCTGTTTCGAGGCGCACGGGATAGCATCAAACGGCACCGTCCCGGAGGCACCGCCCCGAGCTTCCGGGACGGGACATGCCAAACAATGCCTTAGTACGGATCCTGACTTAGCGTGTAGGGGTTCTCCCCTTACTGACCCGGTTGTAGCACGGTGTGGCATCGGTTGTGACGTGTCTTAGACCAAAAATATACTTTATCAAGTCGTCTATATATTAAAAATTAAAAATTAGAATATCAATAAAAATATTCCATTTTACATGCTATTTTTCTAAGAATCGAGTGGTTGGAACGCTATGAGTTATGGTCGGAATGATCGTATTTTTGTTCCTCAATCAAACCCGGCAAATTTTGATAGGATCAACGTATCATAGTCGTCGTCTAAAATTTTCATCTCAAGTTATCAGATGTCACTGCATGATCGGTTTGACACATTTTTATGTGCTCCAAGTCGGTAGGGAATGACCGTCAAACAGTCACAGATACTTCTATATATTGATCGAGAGGCCTATTAAGTCTTTTGAAGCATCAATAGATTAACTAAACTTTCGATGCTTTTTGAGATGTTTGATCTTGATTTCTCTATTTTAATGTCAAAAAGGGGGTGAACTAGTGTTATTTGGATTAAAAAACAATTATCTAAGTAAATTATACTATTGACAGAGAAAATATTTATTGGCGACTCATGTGATAGTCCAATCAGCATGAGCATTCAGAACTTTTATTGTGTTTGATCATTCAACTTATTTTCGAAAACCTTTTACGTCTAATTAAAGTTGATTACTTTGTATTATTTGTGATCCTAGTTATCTTATATTCAACTAAAGAGGACATGATAAAATTTCATCATACTCCATTTTATTATTAAATTGAGTGTTGGATGGATCATGTCGAAACCCCATCAAATAATATTTTTTCTAAATATTGATATTATATCAAGCGTTCAACATCATAATCAACCTCTAAAGTTTCTTGTGTATCTAAATCTAAATCAAATTGGATTGATTCAGCTATCATTGACATTTATTTTTAATAATTATATAAACTTAATAATAGATAATAAGTAAGCAAGAAAGAAAGAAAAGTACAAGTAAAAAAATTAAGGGAAAAAAAAAGGATATATAGTAAGTAGCATTGAGACCTACCTATACCATTGGGCTTCTTTAACCACTTGAATTATATATATCATTTTAATTCTATTTTAGCAATAAAAATCTAATTTTCTTAGTTTTTTTATATATATCGATTAACTATTGATGCGTAATACGATTTTATCCTTTCGGAACATGTGAGCTCTGAAAAGCAGAAAGGAAGAAAGACCTGACAGATTTATGAGTCCTTGGTTCCCATACTCCTCAATCAATATGAAATTAAATAATCTTATATATA